GGAAGTACAACATTTCTAGAATCAAAACTTACTAGAGGCAAGTTTTTAGTTATGTTTGGTACGACTAAAAATGATACTCTAGCTTGAAATGAATAAAATTTTGATTTGATATTTGTGGTTGCTTTTTGCGTAATATTAGTAGATGCTTGATTAATACCTTTGAGATGTAAACTGAATTCTTCGAGATTTAATTGCAATTTATTGCATAGTTTTTGCGTGATTAAATGACTTTGACTTCCAGAGTCTAATAAAGCGCGACATTTGTGTGACCGTCCAAAACGGTCGTCTATGAAGACTTCTGCTGTTGATAGTAAAACTTCGGTTTGGCAAATGCCTGTAAATGAATGATATGTACGAGTAATATTTTGTGATTCGCTTGGTTGTTGCTGTGATGTTTCACTATTTATAACCTGCATAACTGATGATTGTGCTTGATGGATGTTTGCAGCTGTATCGTTGCGAGCATTGTGAGATGTGTTGAACTTATGGGCATTAAAATTGTCATCATGTAATAACGTATTGTGAGATTTGTTGCATTTTCTACATTTACTAGAGTGACAAGAGTTTTTGAGATGTCCTGAGCGTAGGCAATTGCTACATAATTTCATTTTTCTGATCTGTGAGAATTTTTCCTCTGTGGGCAAATTTAGAAATGCATAACAATTGTAAATATAATGATTATTTTTGCAATATGGGCATAAAATGGTATTCGTTATAGCAAATGAATGTTCCCTATCCTTAAAAGGCTTTGAAAATTGGGGTAATTGTTTGTTTGGGATTGATTTTGTGTTGTGAATATTTGTTTGTGAATGATTATACAAAGTTTCGAGGGTAAAACATCTTTTTGTTAAAAATTCTATGAATTCCTGCAATGTGGGAAGAGAATTTGTTGGTAACGAATTTTCCCATTCTTTCTTCATTGCTTGATCGATTTTGGTTGAAATAAAATAAATGATTAATTGATCCCATTCCTTCGTGTTAACATTTAGTTTTTCTAATGAGCTCATGTGTTGGAAAACACTGTCTAGTAACTTGCGTAATAAAATATAAGAATCCTTTGTGACTGTGGGCAATTCGAATAATGATTTTATGTGACTGTTGACAATAACACGTTTGTTTTCGTATCGTTTCTTGAGCATATCCCAAGCTACGTCATAGTTATCTGAAGTAATTTCTAATGATTGTACTAGACGATGTGCATCACCCTTTAAACAACTTTTTAAATAGAACATTTTCTGTATTTTATTTAAATTTTTGTTTTCGTGAATCAATGATGAAAATGTGTTTTCAAAGTTTACAAATGTATCATACGAACCATGGAATTCTGGCAAACTCAAGCGAGGCAATTTGAGATTTGTGACTGAATCCACTTGACAGTTTTCGTGTACACCTGTTTGAAGAAATTGATTACTACCCTCTGGTGAGGAAGTCGTGCCTATTTTAACATTACTTATTAAATCGTTTCGCAAGCGACATGTTTTCGAAAAACGAATTTTCAATCTGATCGCGATCAGCTGATTCGTTTTGATCAAGCAATTCTAACTGATTTTGAATGATATTATATTCCTGAAAATCGGATTGAATTTTATTCAATCGTAACTGTAACTGCGTGATATCTTTCCTGTTCTCTGGTTTATTGAGAAAGGTAACAAATCGTGTTAATGATGCCTTTATAATAGCCCGTGAATGTCGTAATGATGTTATTTCTTTTCCTGGCTCCATCATGAATATATTCAAATGAAATTGTTCTGCGTAAATAATAAATCTATCTAAAAAAAATCAAATGTTACGTATTTGGAATGAATTAAAATGTGCAAAAAGAATATGATAATATGAGAACATAAACATACAATAAATCGAGATATGTCTCGTTTACCGGAATCCAATTGAAGCAGATCACAACTGGAAACTCACTGTCGATTCTTAGATTGTTAATGTCACCTTCTATCCACGGCATGCAAATTGATTTTCCATGCGTTACTGCTGCAATATTTCTTACGAATTCCAAACTGTATCCACTTGCGAATGATGATAGGTACTGATTGATGATCTTGCTGGTGTCGCACTATATCCGGCTCGAATATGGCCAAAATTATGTATTGTTTGTTGTGTCTCGAAGGACCACTCCAATTAAGGAGAATAATATCAAATTTGTTGAATTAAATGAACTGTATTGAAATTTTTAATGGTACGTTGTGACATTTCTATTTGTATTCAAAATAACAAACTCTAATAATGAATACTAGATTAAAATTAGTGCAAAATTGCACACAAATTGCTCTCGTTTTGTTTGGCTGCACAGCTGCACTCATAGGCGCAACTAGACTTCAACTTTTGGGGGGCTACAGGCTACAGCCCGGTGTACATTATAAAGTCCATTCCAAAAAACCATCCAATTTTTATCTCTTTTCCTTAGCATTCCCCTTCTACTAAGTTGAAAATTTTCTGAATTCTGAGCATCACATTCACTTTATTAGAGACATTACCAAATGTAAATTAATCAAATTATTTTATTATTATTATTTTGCGGTGCATGTCCGTCTGTCTGTCCGTTTGTGCGTCCGTTAGCACGATATCTCGTAAACGAATGGATCGATTACTATTTGTGATGTCATTTTTGTAAATATGAGGTGATTAAAACATTTATTTCGCTAACAGTGTAGCTCAACTTGGAATGTTCCGTTCAGATCTAAGCTTGAAAGCCCTCGTATCAGTCGTATCATGTACCTACAGAAAAGAGCACCCGTCCTATCGTATCTGATCACATTCTGATACATCACCATAAACATAAAGACAATTCTCATAAGAGTTCGTACACGTTAATTTAATTTTTTCTATACGTACGCTTATTCCAGGTGTATAAGTTTATCTTACTTAGAACTTTGTGAGACTCGCCAACAATCCCGCGTTTTATTTTGCGAGATCCTTCTTAACCATACGCCCTCTAGCGGAAAACCTAGAAACTTGAAAACAGCGATTTCTCTTGGCCCCTTTCGTTATCAAAATCTTTTTGTCCATGATGATTTCAGATTCCTTAATATTGAAGGATATTGTTTGCGAATTGCTATGGTATGCCAATACGCGATTTTTCAGTTTCGGTAGAAGTAATCAAAATTAACATTGGCTTTAGAAACAACCCAAAAAACCATCAATTTTAAGCAATAAAAAATTTATGAGGATAATTTTTTGAGGGAATATACACTATACTTTAGGTAGAATCAGATTAAATCATCTTTGGGTGCATTATAATACACAGCTTATGTTAATTGGAATTTTTTGAAATCTTTCACAGTGCTCCAGAATTAATTAATATGTAATAGACACATAATTGAATATTAACCCTTTCGAGAAAATTAATATAATTTCTACTCGAACTATTTCAAATAATTGCAAAGCAATTAATTGCTACAATATGCATTAAGGGAATGTATTATAGTCTTGCTAGTTGAACTGAAATGGTAAATTACATAATTGCGTGTGTTTAATATTGAAAGGTAAATTAAAATACAGTGGTAATTAGCGGGACAAGTCATATATAAATCTTATTTGGTACCTAAACTTATTGAATTGAACAAAACAAAATTGACGGATCTGTTGCGCACATTCGTTCTGTTTTGGTATTATTTTCGTGATAGGATTGTTTACTTATACGGAACTAATTATTTTTTTGCCAAAATAATCCATTCCGTTGTTTGTATGTTCTTACCTGCGTATATATCTAGCGTGTAAAGACAATCATTGTTGCTAGGAGTATGAATCATTTTTGCACGATCGGTTATAGTCGGCTACTTACTAATTCATTTTCAAGGCGGTAAGGTGCACTTACCAACCTAGGGCGGTAAGTGTATCATAGCAACGTGCTTAGCAACCAAGTGACAGTTACAGTAACATGCGACAAGTAGGATATGTGTCAAAAATCAAATTATTGTTTATTAATGTGGAAGTTAAATGTACAATTTGCAAGTTACAAAAATTAGTTCGGGAATTAGACAGGCAATTGGAAAACACTGTGTTTACAGATTCTTCACACTCAGCAGTCGATAGAGGATTTGAATTAGTACGGTATGAAATAGCAGGTTCTGTTGATGGCAACGAAGATGATGAAGGGTTCCCTGGAGTTCCACATAAAATCTTCTGAGCGGTTTCAATCTTGTTAGTTAATGACTCACCAAGTACGTGTCATCGGGTGCTTCCGTAAGAAATTTATGGAAATCTGCTTTAGAAAAAACGCTAGATTTTTTTGGCTGATACCCAACGTTCTTTCTTTTCAAAAATGCTATCAGCGTACTGTATTTAGAAATATCAACACACCTTCTTAGAAAAATCATATTTTCAACATGGAATAATCACACCATAAGCCATTTCAATCCTTCACTACGTTGAACAAAATATGCTAACACAATTTTTTCACTTATGTCAGTTTGACATTTACTTTCACACCATTTAAGGAAAGAATCATATGCGGCTTCATAACTACTTTTAAATTTTTCGGGAATGATCGATGCGCAGCCAATACTCCATGCATCTTCTATTTCGAAATCTTCTGAATCATTTAGGTATGTTCACTTAGTCTCAACCAAACCACGTTTCGCGCACGTGTTGTTTTGTTTTCAAAAACAGAAACGTAACTGTAGCAACCCACAAAAAATTACTGAACCCATTGTGATGCTACCACATTGATACATTCGAATTTAGTTTATATCAATTATAAATTGATCGTGCAAAAAATAGCGTAAGCACCACGGTCAGTAGGTGCTTAACCGATTTCGGATAATATTGCAAACCTCGAGCTGCGCTCTCGGTTTGCAATTATTATCCTCAACCAGTAAAGTACCTACACCTACTGACCTTAATACTTAATATACTATTTATTGACGCTGACACGGAACGCCGGCGCTGAAAGTAATGAAAATCGTAGGTAGGCGGACGACGCATGTAAGGGAACTACGAAAGTATTATTAACCCTTGACATTTTTATTTATTTTTGTATTTGTTTACAGGCTGAATTACAAAATCGAGCGCACCGGCATCACTACATCAGAAGAACGCATTCGGACTTGGGTGGACAACGGTTATTTCAGTGGGATTCGCGTTCTTCTTATCGCCGTATGATGTCTTCTCCCGCACCCTTACAGGGGCGACCTCACAGAATGAGTCCTCGGAAAAAACCCCCTGATGCTCCGGGCGGCGTTCAGTTACGTGCAACTCAACGTCGTGGGCAACTTAGAAGATCTCTTAGTCAACCTGTGGATATAGACAAATTGTCGCCATTGATGCGTACAAAAACAGCAGGTAAGTCTTATGTTAATTAAGGCATTCGTTTCCACCCCATCGTAGTATTTTTTCTGAAACTCAATGAGCAATAGGTAATCCCTAGTAACTCATTCTTTTATTTCCCAGTTGTGATGTACTAGTCTTCAACTCTAATACTAACCACTCCACGTACCCACATCGCACTTACTATTTTTGTGTATTGCTAGGTTTAAGGCTGGGTGGAGCCAACATCTTAAGCGAAGATGAGCACGACGGACGAATCGGAACGTCAGAAGATGAAATGATGTCCGATTCTGAATCCTCAATTGCTTCATTGACCGAACGAAAAAAGTCGTTAGAATTGGCTATGGACGAAGACGTGATTATCTTAGCTGAAGCGGTGTTTGATCATGTTGCGATTGAGGCAGAAGAGTTGGCATTCAGAGCTGGAGATGTGATCGAAGTGTTAGAGACTGTTAATAGGGATTGGTGGTGGGGTTCGTCCGGGGGCAAGGAGGGTTGGTTTCCAGCGGCTTTTGTACGTTTACGTGTGAGTCAAGAGGATACTGTAGAAGACTGTTTAGCTGCGATGGCTTCGGGACAATCAATGCCTACTCAATTACGTAGAAGGACTAGTATATCATTGTTATCTAACGACCAAGTTAGAACTAGTGTAGTGCGTGAGTTAGTGCACACCGAACGCGAATTTGTTAAAGTACTCCAAGACATTGCGGAGGGTTACATATCTGAATGTCGTAAGAGAAAGGACATGTTTACCGCGGAGCAAATAGACATTATATTTATCAATTTAGAGGACATATTAGAATTTCAATCTGCATTTTTAAAAGACTTAGAATCGTGTATAGACTGGGACGCACCTTACAAAAGTTGCGTCGGGAACTGTTTCATTAAACGTAAGGGAGGTTTTGAGATGTACTCAGATTATTGCAACAGTCATCCAGTAGCCACAGCTTTATTGCAGGAATTGTATCAATTTAATAATTATTGCAAGTTTTTCGAAGCCTGTAGATTGATGAGGGGTCTCATTGAAATTCCCCTAGATGGTTACTTATTAACCCCAGTGCAGAGGATTTGCAAGTACCCTTTACAATTAGCCGAATTGCTGAAGTATACTAAGGCTGATCATCCAGACTATCACAATATTAAGGAAGCTCTAAAGGCAATGAGAGGTGTTGCAGTATTAATTAATGAACGGAAAAGGAGAATGGAGAGTTTAGAAAAGTTGGCGGCTTGGCAGCAAAGGGTCGAAGGGTGGGAAGTAAGGGACAGTTCTTTATGTTGTGAAATTCTTTTTAAAATGCTATTCTTTAGGGAGAAGACTTGATTGAATTTAGTTCTCAGTTGATTCATCAAGGAGAAGCTGTTAGAATTACTAGTGGAATGTGGACAAGTAATATTACTTTGTTTCTGTTTGATCATCAACTTATTTATTGTAAAAAGGTACCTACTTTCTGTTGGTCCATCACGTTAATTATTAAATGGCAAATTTTTATTGTAGGACATTTTAAAAAGAAATACTTATGTATACAAAGGACGGATAGACATGAACACAAGTGAAGTCATTGATGTTTCAGATGGAAAAGGTATACCGTTTGTTCTAAATAACAAGTAAAAACTTCATTTTATAGATGTTCAAACGGGTGTGAGTGTAAGACATGCGTTGAGGGTTTACAGCTGTGTAAGAGACAAATGGATTTTGTTTTGTCTTCGGTCATCGCTCGAGAAACAAACTTGGCTTCAAGCATTTTCTGATGAACGTCGACTAGTTGCTCAAGATAAATCTGATCGGTTAGACTTCCCACCTGCTGCCAAACAGTTAGCACGAATTGCGGCTCGATCGCAAAGGAGACCTCCGCGCAAACCAAGAGGTAGGTATCGTCAATTGTTGTTATCCACAATCTTCCTTATTTGAAAATTGTGAACCACTGTTTCAATTACTGTTACTAAAGTATCACACCCTCTGATGGATGTCAGATTCCTACATTAACTCTATAGTACAAACTCGCGTAGGCCTTTGAAATTGCTCTGGTTTTTAATTATTATTTGAGAGACATTTAAATCCTGAAACCGTTTGTGAAGTTTTGAGCATATGGACATTGGCATTTTTTGGACCAAACCACAAGAAGGTTTAATTTGCACCATGGAAAATCGATTTTAATTTCGTTGAAATGGATAATACCTATGTGGTTTGCTGAGATTTGTACAAGGATCACAAACCATCAGATATCAAGTAACTGTTGGCGTAATACTCCCTGTCTTGAGGACACGCACAAAGTCAATCCAGTTCATGGTGTATTACAATTCCGCTAGTGGAGTCTTATAGTTTTTCTTAGGAAAATCATTTTTCACGATTTAATAAATCATATAATTAATAAACTTATAAAAAGCCTGAATATTTACGCTGATTAATTTATAGCTATCGTTAAACATGCATTTAATTGAAGTATTTCAATCATTATCAATCCACAAAATTCTTTTGCTCCTGAGTTACCTACCTATCTTTCAGATCTAATCCTGTCCATATTTGAATTCATTTCAGGAAATAAAAGTTACAAGCTAGATTCATCCTACATGGGATCGTCCCTACAACTGAACTCTCAAAACTCGAATTCACTCGGTCGTAAAGTAGGTACATGGTTTACATTTGGTGTCAATCGAAAAACAAGACATCAACATCGTGATGTTTCCTGAGATAAAACAACTTTACTGTAACAATACGTCAGTTACTTACCTGAAGTTGAGCGCACGGTTGTTAGTGATATTATGTGCCAAAAGTGTAAAATATCCGATGACATATTGTTACAGTAGTCAACCAATAAGTATTTAGTTAATTTTTTAATACCGCAATAAAAATGTATGTAGATATTGACTTGCTCGTGATAATAGGCTACTGCCAAATGTGCTGTGCATAACACTTAATCTAAGTATTACGAGGCATAGACGGCCTAACTCTTCCTACATTTTCTCATTGAAAGTCAAATTTCGACTGATCCGAACTATATAGTTAATTATTATTTTATTATGTATATTTCTACACTTTGTATATTTACGCACAAAACGATTAAGCTAATATCTGGAATGTGAACAGGGTATTAAAAAAACTGTTAAGAAAAAGCGAAACGGACAAATCCCTGTAGTAAAATATCCAGTTATGACCCTTTAACTTTAACGGACCAAATTATCACTATTGAATAATGACAAACTGCACAATATTGGCCATTTAGAATTTCTTTAATACAGTTCACCTGTACTCAATATTTTTTAAATTATATCTACCTAATAATAGTAGTACTAGTAATACTCATGTTGTCAATAAAGGCTTAAGTAAAAATAATTGTTATGGTAGAGTATTGCTGTTATTTTTATAGTGTCTTTTTCAGTTAAATCATATTTTTGTAAGCTTTTCCTACACACATTTATAAAATTATTCCCTGATCATTGCACTCGTTCAGTGCATTTGTTGATACTATGTTGATTCCCGATTGAATGTTATTGTTATTGTTTTTTCGATACAACAGTAAAAGTAGTAAGTAATAGTTGATGTATAAATACATTTTACAATATTAACTGTTCTTTTATTTATGTTTCCAATTACTTCACCTAGGTACTGGGTGATGCACGGTAAGTAGGAACATAGGAATTTAAATGCAATATCCTGCTCTCCTGTACATTATTAGGGTTATTTGAAATACAACAGGAGCAATAATTAATCCCCTAATATGTACAACAACTTCAGAATTAAGAAAGAAACGTAACGATTGCTGCAAATACGAACCAGCCATGGTGCAGTAAGTTTAGCGTTATCTGATAGAAATTTTCATATATAATACCATAAGTAGTCGGAAGTATTGTCGAATATTTTTGAGGTGCTGTCACGAATGCTAGTTACGCGCGCTCGTGGTATTAAAAAGCGTAACTAGCATGAGTGGAGCAGCAGCTCAAAAATAATCTACAAATACTGCGACTACGAATGGTATTATGGAGGACTATTCAACGAATCAAAAGAAAAATTAAGCATAATTACCCACGCGAATGTATTTCCATGACAACAATAAACGTCAAAATAAATTATGGAAGTTGCTTTTCATTTTGCTATTGATTCTATTCGAACTTTTGTGCTCCAAGCTAATTCGTTATGAGTGATTAAATTAAAAGATGTGGTGATAAGGCGGTTGTCGAAATTGATTAACAAACTAAGAAGAATGTTCCGGTTAATACGACAAAATTTCGCGTCATTTCACTGGTGGAAGTTTGACAAATGTCATTGAATAATCGCATTGAATTGTCGCTGAAATACCACACGTGAAATTATCACTTATAATTGCACAAGAGGTTTGTATTTTACCGAGTAAATTTGGGTTGTTTAGGTAATGAAAATCTGTTGCCTAGCAATTAGACGAGAAAAACTGTCAACTAATAAAAATGCGACACCGCAGGTGGAGCATTTTTAGGTTGACAGTTTTTCGAGTTCAATTGCTAAAAGGAAACAGATTTGAATTGCAACAACCCAAATTTACTCGGTTTAAATACAAACCTCGAGTGTAATTCGGCAGGACAATTTAACGAACAAGAAATTCACCATATTAATCAATTATTGACAGACGTCAAACTAGTCATATGGGAAAGGATAATGCGATAATTGGTTCGAAAATGAATAAGTGAAAAAACCACTAGTGCATTTGTCGCTGGAAAAGTTGCAGGTAACTTTTGCCGCTGTCAAAGTGACAATTTCACTGCGGCTTATGCGATTTTTTATACATGAGTTGAATTGTCGCTGAAATACCACACGTGAAATTATCGCTGAAATACCACACGTGCAATTATCACTATAATTCGTTCCCATTGGCGCAGCAATTTGAAATCGAGACATTTCACTGGTTGAAATGTGCCAAATNAATTGTCGCTGAAATACCACACGTGAAATTATCAAAGTTATCTCGTTGGTATAATGACATTTTATAGGCGCTTTGTTACAAGAAGTGGCGTTCCGGAACTTTATTTCTTTTAGGAGTTTGATCCAGAAGATAGAAGTGCCTGCTACCTGCTTTAACTTCTAGTGTCGTCTTAGCAGCTGGTAAGGAAACCTGTTACGTTGTATAATTGAACAATCTTGTAATTGTTCCCGTGGAGCACAGATAAAATACCCAAGTGCGTGGAGATATCTAAATTATTTTTGTAGCATCCGACAGCCCTAAATTTGAAGTCCAATTACAGATTTTATGTTTATCGCAGGTCACATAATTAAGGAAATTTTAATTTTTGGATGTAAACAATCGCTGTATCGGCTGGGAAACCGTCGATCCCTTCATGAAATGACCGAATTTTATAAAGGTAAGACCGCTGTTTAGAGGGAATCTTTTAGCCTTTCGGTGTTTAACTGCGTATAGTAAGATCACATTTTAACAATTTTCCCTACATTTTGCCACTTCCGCTAATCATAAGGGGGGTATTGTTTTACATTTCTTGCGATTGATTTCTTATAACTACCGCTAATTAATTCATGCTCTGTTGCTTGCGTTCCCGTTAGGATAATCGCGTCCGTGTGTCGTAATTCTGTTTTAGTTGCTTCCCTGGACCTAACCACTCGCCAAATTCTGGATTAACTCGTTATTTCTTCAACCGACTGCCTGTGGTTACCGATTGTGACAAACCTTCGTGATCGTTCCGAAACCACCGACTTTGGTCAGGAACAGGGTTTTTTTCTTCTGGTGACGCTCGAGTCCGTCCGTTCCGTCGATATCACATCCAGGTCGCCGCCGACTACTAACAGCTACTTTCACATTAATTTTCATTGGTGCGCGAACCCCATACCTAAGTTTATCGCGCAGGTGAATCATAAAGTTTCATCTCCACTTTGTCATATTCTACAACCCATCACGCACTAATTTTTGGGATCATGGTTAGAGTAGAGTCCTCTAGCCAAAAGGATTCCGCCATAATGAACAAGCTTACCCTTTTCACCGCTTTTTCTCTTATACTGCTTATCTTATCTCATTGTTTTTAATTAATTATGTCCATATAGATAGGTAAGTTTCTCTTTAACTACCTAAGTAGGTACGTTAGATTTAATGACCGTCAAATTACAGGATGTCACATTTCAATTCATCAGTTCATATAGCTAATTAATGTGGAATGCACTTGGATTATTGGCTAAATTTTGCTATACGAAAACTATTAATAATATTAAACAAAATTCTAAAATGTCCGATTGTCGCAGCGTCCAAATTAATGTACCTATGCGTTCATTTGTCGTGGATTCACCAGAAGCGTTTGGTATGGATAAAAGGGGTGGTATTTTTGTAATAAGTTTGGCAGAACGAAACATTCTCTTACAGAGCTGGGCAGTATTCGATTTTGTAAATACTTTTTAGTATTCAATTCCTTTAAAGTATTCAAATACTTTATAATTAAATACTTTTATGGAAGCAGTATTTGTATTTGTAACTCAAATACTTTCAGATATATTTAGTATTCGAATACTTCGCAAAGTATTTGGATACTTCGTAAAGTATTCGAATACTTCGCATAGTACTTAACCTTCCTTTTTTACCAAAAATCGACTACTCCAAAATTTTTCGGCAAAACACTTTTTCTTATTAATTTTGGTGCGTAGAATCCAAAACGATTCGTACTTTTTCGATTAGACTTCTCAATAAAAAGTTATTGACAAAAAACAAATTTCGAAAAAAAATTCAAAGGGCTTTAACTTTTGATCTAGTAGCCCGATCTTCAAACTGTTTGAAATTATAGATTCTACAGGCCACATTCTATAAAAAATCTATCTTTTTCTTATTAATTTTGGTGCGTTGAATCCAAAACAATTCGTACTTTTTCGATCAGACTTCTCAATCAAAAGTTATGGACTAGAAACCAATTTCGAAAGAAAATTCAAAGAGCTGTAACTTTTGAACTAGTAGCCCAATCTTGGAACTGTTTGAAATTATGGATTCTACAGGCCACATTCTATTAGGAAATTTTTTTCCCGGGTCCATCTGAGACAATTTTTTTTTCGGGTCTCAAAAAAAGGCAGTGTATAACCTTCCTTTTTTACCAAAAATCGACTGCACCAAAATTTCTCGGGAAAACACTTTTTCTTATTAATTTTGGTGCGTAGAATCCAAAACAATTCGTACTTTTTCGATCAGACTTCTCAATAAAAAGTTATGGACTAGAAACCAATTTCGAAAGAAAATTCAAAGGGCTGTAACTTTTGAACTAGTAGCCCAATCTTGGAACTGTTTGAAATTATAGATTCTACAGGCCACATTCTATTAGGAAATTTTTTCCCGGGTCGATCTGAGAGAATATTTTTCGAGACTCAAAAAAAGGCAGTGTATAACCTTCCTTTTTTACCAAAAATCGACTACACCAAAATTTCTCGGGAAAACACTTTTCCTTATTAATTTTGGTGCGTAGAATCCAAAACAATTCGTACTTTTTCGATCAGACTTCTCAATCAAAAGTTAAGTACCTACTAGAAATCAATTTCGAAAGAAAATTGAAAGGGCTGTAACTTTTGAACTAGTAGCCCAATCTTGGAACTGTTTAAAATTATGGATTCTACAGGCCACATTCTATAAGAAAATTTTTTTTCCGGGTCGATCTGAGACAATTTTTTTTTCGGGCCAAAAAAAAGGCAGTGTATAACCTTCCTTTTTTACCAAAAATCGACTACACCAAAATTTCTCGGGAAAACACTTTTTCTTATTAATTTTGGTGCGTAGAATCCAAAACAATTCGTACTTTTTCGATTAAACTTCTCAATCAAAAGTCAATTTCGAAAGAAAATTGAAAGGGCTGTAACTTTTGAACTAGTAGCCCAATCTTGGAACTGTTTGAAATTATGGATTCTACAGGCCACATTCTATAAGAAAATTTTTTTCCGGGTCGATCTGAGACAATTTTTTTTTCGGGTCTCAAAAAAAGGCAGTGTATAACCTTCCTTTTTTACCAAAAATCGACTACACCAAAATTTCTCGGGAAAACACTTTTTCTTATTAATTTTGGTGCGTAGAATCCAAAACAATTCGTACTTTTTCGATCAGACTTCTCAATCAAAAGTTATAGACTAGAAACCAATTTCGAAAGAAAATTCAAAGGGCTGTAACTTTTGAACTAGTAGCCCAATCTTGGAACTGTTTGAAATTATGGATTCTACAGGCCACATTCTATAAGAAAATTTTTTTCCCGGGTCGATCTGAGACAATTTTTTTTTCGGGGCTCAAAAAAAGGCAGTGTATAACCTTTCCTTTTTTACCAAAAATCGACTACACCAAAATTTCTCGGGAAAACACTTTTTCTTCTTAATTTTGGTGCGTAGAATCCAAAACAATTCGTACTTTTTCGATCAGACTGCTCAATCAAAAGTTAAGGACTAGAAACCAATTTCGAAAGAAAATTCAAAGGGCTGTAACTTTTGAACTAGTAGCCCAATCTTGGAACTGTTTGAAATTATGAATTCTACAGGCCACATTATCTATAAGAAAATTTTTTTCCCGGATCGATCTGAGACAATTTTTTTTTTTCGGGCCTCAAAAAAATTTTGTTTTTTGTCCTAGGGGCGAAATTAACCACTTTTTATAAGTCGCGCGTCTTCGAGAGATAGTCAACTTAGGGTGCCCAAAAGATACTTTCTGCTGCGTATTTTGGCACGCGGTTTAAGGTTTCATAAAATTCGAATCGCGGCCTTTCTTTTTCATGTCGCCAATAGAAGCTCCAGCCATGAGAAGTGCTGAAAAAATTGAATACCTACTTACTATCTTGTGGAGAGTTTTAGCGAAATGCACAAAATGGGTCAGAAGGGGGTATATACCGACAAAGGAAATGTAGTAGCCCCATACATGATTTTATTGATCTGGAGTTAAAACATCAAACGCGAATTGCGGGTGCACAGGACGTAAGTGGGAAACTGGGTACCTACTGGTTTGGCTAATAGAATGTTGATCTTCCACACAAAAATCCGCTGAACTGATAGTCCAGAAATGTTTAAAAAGTTACAGTGTATTTGCCATCCTAAGATTCGGGCAACTACCCAACTGGTAACAGTGAAATATGTACCTATAGCCAAAGAGTAATTATTAAGTATTCTTTGGTATAGCCAAGCAAACTGAAAGGTGTCAGAGATTACCTGGACCAAGAATATTATCTAAAACGAAAAATGTAAAATTAACAGACACAATTATAAATTAATAGAAACATTCAAAGGTTTGATATTCCAAAACCTATGATCAGTTTTCGAAATATTCACTTAGATTTAGTGGGACCACTTCCACGTCCACCATCAGATATAATAATTGATATTTACTAACAAGCATCGACCGATATACGAGGTTGATTGTAGTAAAGCAATTCCATTGAATTAGAACATTGGCGATGGCGAAGATTTAGAGTTTGTACCTAAAATCAATAATACGATACCTACAGAATAGATTGCATCCCGCATCTCAGTAGCTTTTTTTAATTATGGTGATCTGGTAGGAAAACCGACCTTTGTATTGAATGAGGGTTGGCGATTGCCTTATTATACCTACCTACTGGAAAACCTGCTATGGCGATTAAAAACAGGCCCAGTAGAACCCCTATTCACAATATGCACGCTTCTATATGGTTTTCCATTTTATTTCTATTACTCAAGAATTATTATAATAAAGTAAAGCGGTTTTGTTCTTACACATATGTATGTACATTTCAATTTAGAAGTAAAGACATAATGCCATCGTGAAAATGACACAGCTTAGCAAATATGAACTTTGTCTATTAGCAGTACTACCTTGATCTGTCGATTTCCTATGCGACAAATATTGTATTACCGCATCATGGAAATTATGCAAAGATGAACTCTGAACAAACGTGTCAAACTTGCCGTCAAAAATAATTGTAGGGATAAAGTCTAGGGGATATAGCGCTCGGGTTTCATTTCCATACTTTGCCAACAGGTTTGACCCTTTGGAACTCTCAACGCAATCGAGAATTTGTTTACTGGTCAGATTTAGATAAGTAACACACTGAAAACAATTAAGTTGAGCTTAGTTCAATGCAGGGTAATTAATAAACTAACCATATCCAATGCGTGAGTTGCTGATGAACGATAAGCCATCATCAGGCAATTCACATAGTCCACGGTTTTTGCTTGTTCCTGACTTTCATGTATACCGCAAGCATGAAGTTTGTTTCCGAGACATTCCTCCGGTCCATGTTGGCACTCAAACTGCCAATCTCCATTTTTCCAAGTGTGCTGTAAATTCACGATTAAGTAAGTAGGTACCTACCTATATCAAGTGGCGATTAATATTAACTTACCGATGCACGCCCATAAGGTACAAAATCCACTGTTAGTAACGAGTTAATTTTTTGGTAGGCTGGATAAAATTGATTATTTATAAAGTTGACGCTGTCTGGACAAAGGGCCTCATAGTAAATTGAAACTTTCACCACTTCTGAGTAAACCTAAAATGAAAGGTAGGTAGGTATAGTTGTTATATAGGTAAGTAGGAACTTTCCAACTCTTTTAAATAAGTTGCTTATACCGTTTGCTATTTACTAACAAAAAAGCAAAATCATTTTACCTATGCTCTCATGCGTATATAAAATTACATTAAACAATGTGCGCATTGTTAGAAAACCAATTTTTAAATTGCGCCACTGTGGCCATTAATTTTCCAGCACTATAGCAATACTTACCTTTTGTTTTAGTTAATTTTTACCTAGGTCAAGAATAACTAGTTTATTATCAAATTTCGGACATCGAGTAATATGGACGCTCTGCCATTCTAATATGTTAAAAGCAATAGACATTTTTTGCTTCATCTGCCTGGATATCCATAATTATTATGCGTGTACTAAACAAATATACATGTTATTTTGTTCTGATTTGCGGTTTGGATTTTGCTGTCATATCTACTTCAGTATTGATTATAGGAGAACAGTAAGCAGCCGATGAAATTTCGTAATCTATTCTGCAATAATCATTAACAATTTTAAACATTTGAAGTAAATTAAACAGTAATTGCAATTGTATGACTGTGCGATTTGCATGTTTCATTCATAGTCACACCCCAATGATATAAATATAGTACAAAATACACATATGTACATACTTGTATTGTTTGCAACACAGTAATTGACGTTAATAACACTAGTCTCATGACCGTAAGTGAGTGGATAGTGTTCCGGTTAAAACTTTTGTTACAATAAATTAATTTTTTTTCGTCTCGTATTATAAAGTTTCAACTTATCTATTCATCATCTCCATCTCTATATGTATTTTTGTAATTACACTCAAGGTTGAATAATTAAATTAATTACATTTTATTTTGTTTATAACTTACTATGTAGATATGCTGCTAAAAGTTCTGTTTTGCCAGTAGTAGGTACGAATTCTCACGAGGTTATATAGGTAGGTACTAATAAATTGTTTTTATGGAGATGCACCCAAAATACAATATAATCACGTTGTTCTGTTTTCAAATACAATGGAGAATTGGTAATTTTCCCTTTATCTTTGAGCCAGAATCTCAATTCAAAGGGATTTAATTTAATTTAATTTGAATATGAATAAGCTAATTTAATTATACAATTGCATAACGAGGTACCACTACCTATAAAGAATTTATAATTTGACACCCTTTGGCGAAAAATGAATTGAGATGGAATATTTAATTCATATGAACTACCTAACTCATACTCATCTGACAGAGCTGGCGAGACAAAGTCGAATTTGCATCTCGTAGTTGAAAATTAAGCAATTGTTTCCATGAATTGATACTGACTATTGATATAACAGTCCGAGAGCTGGTGACACAATTTAGAGAAGGCGTTTTACTCACGCCGAAATTATGAAAAATGAAAAAAAGGTTTTCGCCTAGTAACTTTAGCGCATTATCCATGAATTGATCAGTAGTATTTCCCAAAAGGTCATTTAACGAATTATTTATGTCTACAAAATATGGTGTAAATATTCTTATAAATAAGAAAATAACGAAGTTCGCGCATGTACACACCTGATGTTTAAAATATGGAATATGTTTGAATTTACTATAAGAATCTTTGGTTAAAATTTCCAGAAAATGTCTCAATAAATAAGAAAGTTGACATTGCGCAGTTTGCGTATGCGGACATTTGATTTTTAGAATATGCAATATGCTTGCCTTTACTAGAACCATCTGTGGGTAAAATTTCAAAGTAATATCTCCATAAATAGAAAGTTGGCATTGCGAGCAGACTGAGCATGCGCACATTAATCGTAAAGATTTTTTTGGTTGAAGCTATTAACTACCGAATGCAAAAAAACTAAATATCTTTATCAGCTTTAGTAGCTGTATAATACATTAACAATTTTTGGGTTTTAAAGTGTGACCGGACTATTATATATATCTACCTACTATATATGTATACTATTATTGTAAAAAAAGTTTTGTCAAACTGTGTGCCATATACTCGTAGTTCGTGGCTTCGGCGGCAGTATCCCAATTATGCTCACCTACTCAGGCCCGTTTCCCATAGAAACTGGTCTTGCCCCCACTGGAAATTATGGTTGATGGTTCCTTTACAAAAATTACAGGGGAAGTTTATATCAAAATCTTCTTAAATCCCGCTAGAAAAATACAGGCCATCCCTGCTACTTCATTCTGGCTACGGGCCTGCACCTACTTTTGCAATGTCTCAGATGAACAGCTACTTAGCTATTGGTAATAATATAACAAAATATCAGATAAATCTGGTTGAATGGTTGGAAAATATTGTTTTTCTGAAACTAGGTACCTACTTTAGAAACAACAACTTTAGTCTCTAAAAACGGCGAGGAAAATGTGATTTTCCTCTCTAGTGAGGAAAGTAAAAAACAATTGCTGTGTTAATCTTAAGAATTTAAAATTGAAACATGCGCGTATCTAGATTGCTGTGTGTCAAACTACATTATTCCATACCATAATTTTTTTAATTTTGATTGTAGTTTCAGAAAAAATTATGTGTAAAACTTGAGAAGAAAGTGATTGACACACTATGTAAATAACTATTTCCGGACTGCCTTGAATATTCTAAAAACAAACTCAAAATCGTTTCGCAACGGAAGCGCGCTGCAAATTCGAAGTGTTTTGAATTTGTGTATATTTCGATTGTTTTGAAGTACTCTTTATTCGTTTAGTTTAATTGGTTGCGTCAAAATGATAAGGGCCGGGAAAGCATAACCCTACAGCAGGGACATTGCAGCGTGTCGTAAAAGGGGACTAAACAACAGAGGGTCAGAGGGTCTTAGAGCAGGTAGATGGTTAGGGTGTGACAAAAAGGTAGATAAGGGGTGGGGGGAGGCGACAAATTTTACCGATTGATGCGACTTTTATTTTACAGGTATTACATACCTACATATAATATTGTAACGTGATTTATAAATTCGGGTTCGATTTATATCAATATTTATTAAACAGAACTAAAACACTATAAAATCCGTACAATTTATATCGATTATTTATATCACTCACACTTCGCAATTTATATTTCCGCGCTCGATGTTTACGTACTCGTTCGGTAGTAGACTGCCGCGATGTTCGGTCCGCAACCATTTATACACGCAAGCAATGTAAGTCCCGAACATTCTCGAATATTCCTACTATCGCGCGCGTAGAAAATTCCAGAGCGCCAAAGGCGACGTCATGTCTGGAGCATTTCCGTTACACTGCCCCCTTCTTAATTCTGGACGTCTCGTTCAGAAACTGCGTTAGTATTACTTTTTAATGCCTCGTGTCGGAATCTGCAGTCAGAGCCTGCTCGACAAACACCTTTCTTGAAAAAGTAACAGTCCACAGTTTTGCGGAGGGTCGTCCCCTGTGGGTTGAAGCAGCATACTGTAATTCGAACGCTAGTGTTTCTAAAAATCACTTCGATCATGGTTCGCACTATTTTCCAGTCCAACCCATCTAAACCACATCCAATCTTCGGGATCGCCAAGCTATTTATGTCATAGTATGCCATGAGTTTCTTTAAGCTTTTTAAAGCAGACCAGAGGTTTTCATAGGTGGGTTTGCCTTCTGACGTTTTCTTTGAAACCAAGTAGAACAAAGAGCGTTGACTATCTTCCAAGCGCAGTACTTTACCCACTCGTGGTCTTTGCTTTAACAACTCGTCCATTCTTCCAAATCTTTTCCGGAATACGGAAGCTATACCTCTACCCATGCGAAGGTCTTCGGCGACACAATGGGCGATGGAAACGTTAACCGGAAGCTCAAAAATATTTTGACAAATTTCCTGAGTAACGCCAAATCGAGCTTTCTTCCGCTGGGCGTAATTTGACATAAAATCGTTAAAGTTTGGCTCGATCCCAAAGCTGCGTTCCTCTTCTCGAATACCTCTAACTTCTTCGTTGTTGTTGGATCCGGCATATCGTGCGAGTCGATTAATGTGGACAACTTTCGGTTTCCGGTGGTTCATTCTGATACGATATATCACGTCATTTATTTTCTTGATCACCTCATACGGACCTTCCCATTGTCTTTGTAGCTTGGGAGAAAGACCTCTTCGTCTCTGTGGATTGTGCAGCCATACCAGATCTCCAGCTTCAAAAGTTTCATTGGCCGAGCGGAGGTTGTATTGATTTTTCATGCGATCGCTGACAATCTGAATATGACTTCTAGCCAAGTCGTGAATATCGTTCATCTTCGCCTTTAGTTGGTCAACATAATTTTCACCTGCGACATATTCTTCATGGGGTTTACGCCCAAACTCGAGATCACATGGAAGGCGTAGTTCACGACCCAACATAAGGCAGGCAGGAGTCTGACCCGTGGTCTCGTTGACGGCTGATCGATATGCCATAAGGAACAGGTGGAGGTACTGGTCCCAATTTTTCTGATGTTCTGCCACGACTTTTGAAAGATATTTACCCATCGTTCGATTCATTCTCTCCACCATTCCATCTGACTGAGGATGCAAAGGTGTTGTTCTTGTTTTATTGGCTCCTACCAATCGACAAACATCTTGGAACAAAGCCGATTCAAAGTTCCTTCCTTGGTCTGAATGGATTTCTATAGGAACACCAAAACGTGTAAAGAACTCCTTTACCAACACTTCTGCAACTGTTGCTGCCTCTTGGTTTGGAATAGCGTAAGCTTCAGTCCACTTTGTGAAATAATCCATAGCGACTAGGATATATTTATTTCCGCCATCTGTCTCGGGAAACGGTCCTGCGATATCGATAGCAACTCGTTCCATCGGACTACCAACGTTATACTGCCTCATGGGTGCCTTCTTCTTGGAAACTGGTCCGTTTCCAGTAGCACATAACTCACATTTTTGACACCATCGCCGGACATCTTCTTTACGGTTGACCCAATAGAATCGCTCACGTACCCTTTGCAACGTTTTCGTAATACCAAAGTGTCCTCCGGAAGCGCCGTCATGCAATTTTCGCAATACTTCCGACACTTTGCTTCTAGGTACTACTAATTGCAGCGTCGATTCGGTGCCATCTTCACTTTCAAGGGTCCTATACAACAGGTTGTCTTTCAGAGTCAGGCTATTCCATTGGCCCAATAACTCTTTACTTCAGGACTTGTGGCACTAATGTCTTGCCAGTCTGGTCTTTGTCCGTGGCGCATCCAATTCAGAACAGTTTTTATACTTGTGTCGTTTTCTTGGGCCGTTTTGATTTCGCTTGGCTTCCACTCCTCACTCTCTACAGTTGTTCGTCGCAGATGGCCAATCTTGTCTTCTATTTTAGAACAATGTGTGCAGTTGTCCTTGCACGGTCTTCTTGACAAAGCGTCTGCATTATTGTGAACTTTTCCAGACGACGAAATGTTTTCAGTGAAGATCGGGGCTTTGTTTCTGCAGGTCGACGATAGCCCCTTCCTGTCGACCTTTCCTAGTTTTCCGACTGCTGCAATGGTTTTTGGCAGTTGCGGCGAACGTGTCCAATCTCGCCGTGGTTCACGTTTCTTTGCCAGTGACTGTATTGCTTTATTGATCTTTTCTTCCACTACTTTACTGACCTTTTCTTCAAAACTTCCAGAGCCACCTTCCTCTTCGATTGTCCTTACCCGGCTGTCACTGCGAGGTTCCACCATACGTACTCGCGCACTTCCATGACTAGCTTTCTTGGCGGCTTCGAATTCTAACGCATGGGCCAAAGCTTTCTCAATTTTGTCGTGCCTAGCCAGTCTCAAAGCCTGCTGGGCATCTCCATCACGAACGGCATCGATAAATGTTTGTACAGCCAGTTGATCAAGAAAGCTCTCCGGTGCCGTAGGGTATGCCAATCGAATCAGTCTAGCGATGTCCGCTTCAAGTTCCTGCAAACTTTCTCCAGGTTTCTGCATTCGGTTCTTGACTTGGGCATAGTAAACTTGCTGAAGGTGTTTATCGCCATATAGCATTTCGAGTCGCGCTACTATTTGTTGGAAGTTCTGTTGATCCTCGGGGATGGTCCGCAACACATCCAGAGCATCTCCTCTCAGAGCAAGAATCAGGGCGGTAGTTTTGTCTTGAAGAGTCCATTTATTTGCCGCAGCCGCTGCCTCAAACTGTCGAACGTACGTGGTCCAAGGAATCTTACCATCAAAAGTAGGTGGCTTTACTCGGGCTTGCTGAACGTCGCCTTCTACTCTTGTATTTGTTTCTGGGTCGACCTTCTTGTAATGAGTAGACTGTGGCACCTCAAGAAGACGGTCCATCAGTACTTCATCTGGGGCACTACTAGTACGCTCTTCCGTAGTCAGTCGCAAGAATTGCTCGCGCAGCTCTTCATACTTGTGCTCAATCTCAACGAATGTTGCTTTAAATGTTTTGGAAACTTCCGTAATTCTATCTTCAACTTTTTCTTCAATTGATTTAGAGACTTCTTCGATAATCTTTCTAGAATTTTCCTCCATCTTTTCGAACTTCTCGTCCATTTTTCTAGAATTTTCCTCAATCTTCTCGAACTTCTCTTGAATATTTCTAGAATTTTCTTCATTAATCTTTCTAGAATTTTCTTCCATCTTCTCGAACTTCTCTTGGTTGCTTTTCATTTCTTGTTGCAACACCTGTTGGCCATTTTGGATTTGCTGGAGCAAATTGAGCATCGTTTCTTCCATTTTAGCGGCAGCAGATCTTGTTACAGGCATACACAAGCACAAGCACTTAATTTAATCTTACTTTTAATTAATTTAATTAATCCCACTTCTGACACCAATGTAACGTTATTTATAAATTCGGGTTCGATTTATATCAATATTTATTAAACAGAACTAAAACACTATAAAATCCGTACAATTTATATCGATTATTTATATCACTCACACTTCGCAATTTATATTTCCGCGCTCGATGTTTACGTACTCGTTCGGTAGTAGACTGCCGCGATGTTCGGTCCGCAACCATTTATACACGCAAGCAATGTAAGTCCAGTACATTGTCGAATATTCGCGCGCGTAGAAAATTCCAGAGCGCCAAAGGCGACGTCATGTCTGGAGCATTTCCGTTACAATATATAGGTACTTACATAACAACGGGTTGTAAAAACCCATTCGGATCTCCGGAGGAGACAGTATTTGAGGAACCCTACAAAAAGTGCAAAAAGGAAACTAAGAATAGAAACATGGAACGTTAGATCCCTAATAGGAGCAGAAAAGTTAGAATCCTATCCAAATTTATATACCCACTGTTTCTTCATAGCAAAGAGTAACCATCATAGCATTCAGCAAGTGCTAAAATTAATTATGGACTGCAATTTGCAGTGGTAGTGTTTTCTCTTGTAGCATCTCTGCAAGGAATTAATAAACCTTCAAAATTCCGTCGTGAGATGTACACTAAGCCTTTCTTGTGGTTTACAATTCAGAATTACAATTCCTTTTGCAAATTTTGGATTTATTTTAAGTACCAAATATAGAATTAAATCACGAATCAAAGTAAAATTGGCCACTTTTAGGACAAAAGTGATTAGAATTAAAATTGTGGTAACGAATCACAGTATATTCAAAGCTGTAGACAAAGCAAAGAACGAAATACAAATAGGTACCTACTAGGGCGCAAAAATAAGCACGGAGGACTGCAGTTGAGGAAGGTCAATTTCAGACGTTTTGGTTTTGTTATTGATTGGCATTTTACTTGTAGCGTCTATCCTTTTCCAACAGCTTTCCAGTGCTTTGCTAAGCTTTAACATGTTTGATGTGTTGTAGGTAGATATGGGAATAAACACTTAACATTAAATCACACATGAGAAGGTACACCGACAGACGTTGTCTATGTTGGGCCTATCATGAAATTATTTCGTAGTAGTAGTAGGTACAGAACAGTTGTGCCAATCTGAGAAAACCACCTCAATTCCGGTCCGTCTGGATCAATTCGCAGTAAACTACGGTTGCTACTATAATTTAGCGAATAAGTAGATATCTAAAGACTACCTTTTACTTCCAATTTAATTCAAAAAAAGCATCCTGTCTAAAATTAACTTATCACGCATGTGTTGTGTCATGTAAATAATGTGATCGCTCTCTGTTATCATCAGTTTTACGTCATGCATCACTTAGATTTATGAATAATTGATATAATTACTTACTTGTATTGCTTGCAGTAACGTAACTAACAACAGCAGTAGCCTCATTGCTATAATGCTGATCTGAATATGGAATGCTTAGTATAGTTTCGTTGTATACTCTTTGGTATAGTGCAGCTTTGGAAGACTCTACTAGACTAAATACTTCATGTCGGTGTATCTACATTGGATCTTATCTCACTTTTTCCATCTCCATGTTTTTTGTGGAAGTCTTTGTGATATACTTTATTAAGCAAATGTCACGCGGGCATCATAAATCTTGCTTTCTGACTGTTAGTTGATTCATGTTCTTTACATAAAGATGGGGAAACAGTTCCATTTGCGAATATTTTATACACCCCCTATCTCAAAATAGCAAGCTCAGGCTGGCCCTCCAATATTGCGTGTGAGTGGCAGAGTGGAATTCTGTACACCCCCAAAGTGTCCGGCATGTTGGGTCCACAAGGACCGATGTAAGTGCGTGTTCCAAACAAGCTAAGACATGCTATTAAGGCACTTTGTGTTTTCTAAATGCCGTGTTATACCCCTGCTATTTCGCATGGAATAAGTAACATCAAATTACTATCTTTCTTACCTTCGTCTATAGTCCAGGCGTCAGAGATCGAAAATGGTGCGATTGATGAAATGATTCCTAGGGACTTTTTTTCGTCAATTACTTAAATAATATGGATTGATATAAAAAATTAGGACGAAGTCATAGCTGGAAGTTTTGAATTTTCATTGAAATTGTGAGTTAATTCACGATTGTCTACAATCATACAATAATATAATAATACTATGTTCATATGTGAATGCAGGCTTTTCCACAAAATCTAAATGTGAAAAAGGATGCCTGTTGGTGAAAAATCACAAGCCACAATCATATTGGGAGTTGGGTTTAATTTTATTAATATACCTACCTAGTTTTACTTCGGTTACTCCATATTGGTGATGATTCCGTCTGTGTATGAGGGAAATCTAACTTTAGTATTTTGTAAATTTATGTTTAAAAGTTTTTAGAAAGCTCATATAGGCAATAATGTAGTCTTGTTCCCAGAATCTACCTCAAAGTTCTGAAATGTGTTGTCAAGTTTGTCAAGGCTTCTTATCATTTTTAAGTTTTTCTAAAGTTCTCCTCTAATTATTACCGTGTTCCCCTCAAGCCCATTTCGATTTCTTCTTAACCGCACTTCTCAACAAATAAAACGTAATTACTGCGCTAAAAGAGATAGGAAGTATTTTCCCATGGCTTCGGTTAAAAAATCGCTTTCGATCGCCTCGGTCGATCAGGTGTAGATAGATTTTTTTAACCGCTAAAGTTGCTGTCCGAAATAATTCCCTAATAGGACCGCCAAGACAACAGAAATATTCTTCCACAGGCTTGTACCGTTTCCATCCGGTGTGAGAAGAGGAAGGGAAAGTTCTGCAGATAAACTACTCTCCTTTCCCGGCACGGGAAACATCGCCACTGTATATTTCCAAAAATCCCTAATTTAGTAAACTACCCAATTTTTTACAACTTACATTTTAACTTCTTTCTCTTCTTCTCAAGATTATAATGGATGCAGCTGAGATTAAAAAAGAACAGGCAAGGACAGTGCATGGGAGAGGGCATCGGAGGTTACCGCCACCTTTATTATCATCGCTGGTCGCGAATTTATGGGATCTACAAAAAAGGTAAATAGATGAAATATTGAAAATGTTCTCTTTATTTTCATATAGGAGTATTTTACGTACTGCGTAAACGAAACATAAATAGTTGAAATTTAATTTCATCCTCGCTTTATACAGCATTGGGTTCAAGAAACCTCACGTCGATTCGTCCACGCTCAGTACTATTAGCACAGTAGTCATATATTAAAATCTCATAACTTTGGTATATAGTTTCCTTAGACTTGTATGGTATACTCAGACCTCGGTGAGGAGTGTTATGATTGAAGACCTTGCCCAGAATTATTTCCGATTCATGGTTCACTCTACCAATATTTAAAACATACCCGGCTTCATTACCTCCAATTACTAAATGGTAATCGCTTAATAGATGACTTTTAGAGTTTTCAGTGGGAATCCATTTATATCTGTTATGGTGAGGGCTGCATAAAACCTAAAACAGTTTTTATTTTAACAATTAGAAAGGCATCTCATACTTAAATTTTTTACTTTCACAAATGTATCGGTGACAAATGAGGAGCCACCACCTGATGCCAAAAAGTGCTTCGATCCTTTATATATTGTTGATGGGAGCAGCCCAAATCTTGAGTGATACATTTGTCCGATGTATGTACGTTGATTGGCTTTATCAAATCCTCCGGGTATAGCATCAGAAGGTATGACACCAAGGTACTCGCGCCAATAATAGTCTAATGGAATATTCTTGATTCACATTATTTTAATAATAATTATGTGCTTACCAGGAATGGCATTGTCACGATCAATGTCGCTACAGTTTTTAAATGCTGCTTTTTCCTCTATAAGAAGAGTGACAAAAAAGACTAAAAACAATCTCATATTTACTACTGGTTATACAGATTGATTATAACAACAAACCTACGTATTAGGTATTTATAAATGATCATTGGATAGTGTTATCAATTATTACTGACCTTTTAAGGAATTCCCCATCATTACAGATTAGATCATTCAAAATATGTCCTACATAGAAGAATTCTGTTAATAAAATTGGAATCAAGGCGAACAATGTAATATTTTATAAAACTAATTCTATTACTAATTTAACTCGCAATTTTTTTGGACGTGAACAATGACGGAGACGGACGCAAAATCATTTTTTAATACTCGTAGATACATAGGTATCTAGAGTATACAAAGATAATAGCATAGCAAAGGTCCCATCAGGTCGATACGACCTATACAGGGTGTTACACGACCGTTCGAAAAAAAAAAATCGGGTTGTAGAGGGCATCAAAACAAGCACTTTTTCCAAATAAACCGAGGGTCCAACGTGTTTCGTTTGGGAGCCACCCCCCAAAGAGTGTTGAAATCTGCATTTCTTCTTAAATTTTTTTCTCAGCAACCATAAGAGTTACAAAGTCGGGTGACATGTCTTTGAATAGGTTTTTGGGTATGCTCTTTCCGATTTTGCAATTTTAATTCCTACCCCTAAAGGGCGCACCCCTAAACTAGGGTGCAAAAAAAAATTCTGATTTCGACGAAATTTGGTATCTGGGGGTTTTTTAACATGAAAATAACGAATCTGAAATTAGTTTTTGAAAATTCAAAAAAAAAAGTTCCACTGCAATTCTTGGCGGGACAACGAAAATAGAGATAATTCCACGAAATTTGTTGTGTACATACTAAACGAGTTAAGGAACAAAACTGTCGAACAGTTTTTTTAAAATAACTTTTCAAACAAAAGTTATACTCATTTGAATGTTGGTCCTTCGGGTCGCGAAGTGTCCCAAGCCTACTAGTAAGCCATAATTTCGCATGTGAAAGGAGCGTGTTCTTTTGGAAGTTATTTTTCAACCTAAGATTATGAAAATTTTTGATCATAGTGAAAAAGTATCATACGGAAAGTGATTTGACTTTTTCCCCTACCTTATTTAGATAATAAATAATCGATCAGCGCTTTAAGATACCTTGGTAGGTGTTTTAATCGATACATCGAATTTTTTAATCATTTAATGACCGAATTAATTCCAAATAACAAAATATCAACTCAAACCGTTAATCTTTTGTTTTTGCGACATTGTCAACCAACACATGCGAAATTATGGCTTACTAGTAGGCTTGGGACACTTCGCGACCCGAAGGACCAACATTCAAGTGAGTATAACTTTTGTTTGAAAAGTTATTTTAAAAAACTGTTCGACAGTTTTGTTCCTTAACTCGTTTAGTATGTACACAAC